TAAACAACGAGATGAGAAGCTAAAATATGTACGATGGGAGAAATTCCACAACCTTCCCAGGCATCACTGATTTTTTGACGTTTGTTATTACTCCAGCATCTATAAGTTCCAGTACTCCGTCGCTGACTGCTTCGGTATGGATTCCAAGATCTTTGTGATTTCTCATAGCAGCCAATGTTGAGTCAGGTATCGCTCCAATACCTGAAAATAACAGATAAAGTCGCCTATCTACGTTGTTCAACTGGTCTCACCCAACTGCAGAGTAGCTTCGTTCTCAACGAGGTGCTCAGCAATAAGCTTCCCGATCGCTTGCTCGACCTTGAACGGTGGGTGGTTAGCCATATTACAACCCATAGGAACTGTTTATCCTAACCTCGTTTGGTTTCCCTCGATCAGGTTTCGCATAGATTTCACGATCGTTCACTTCGACCAACGAGTCAATCTGCGAGATGTGAATCACTGTATCGCCATAGGTTCTTGGCATTGACGGGTTGACGAGAGCTGAAAAATGCTCTATTCTCGATCTTTGTATCAGCTTACGTATTTCAAGAAGTTTATACAAAAATGAGGGGTCTTTCATGCGCTGTTCTGAATGTGTACCATTGCATGTTAAGACTTCAATATAAGTTGCATAGACGCGTCAATACACTTGGTTAATTGGCATGTTGTTCAGTATATCGTTCAGTGTAAACCATAAACATTGGTGTGTCTGGTTTGATGCGTAGGCCCGTCTCGTCGCATTTGCAAATAATGTGAGGGGCGGGCGGGTGGCGGAATTACGTGCAGGGGGGGGAAGGAATAACTGATAGTCGGAATTAGGCCAAATTCGATGTTGAATTTAATGTGAAAGTGGAAGTGAGCAGGTGCGAAGTTTGCTACTCGGCAGCCGACATCTTCGTTTCATTGCATCTGTAGTGGAAAGAATACCGGCTACCAATTAATAAAACCTCCCTAACGAGCAAATACCCCTTATGTGAGGCTGGATGTTGGCCAGGACAGTGGTCTTTTTTCCTTGCGATGCAGAAGGTAACACTTGTCAAGAGGGTAAAGAAAGATTCCACGAGAAGGTCGAAAGTCGAAGAAGGGGAAACTTACCTAGTGGAAAGACAGGCGGATCCCTAAGGGTGCTGACCGACACGCAAGTTATAGCAAACAGGCCCTCCCCAAAATGCCATGGGCGCGGTACACCTCCCTCTCGCTGTCCGACTGTCTGGCCGTTTAGCAGAGAAAAGCAGAACGGGCATCACCGTTGAGGCTCGCATTGATGCGGAAATCAGCACGCAAGGAAAGAGGCCCGTTTCTCGGCTACTGGGCAGTTCTCGTCTCGGCTACTGGGCCGTTCTTATGGTTTTTTCTTCATTCCTGCACCACTGAGCACCTTCAACCTTGTTCTGATGAGCTGCGTTCTCATCGCAGATTTCGCCGTCAAAAAGCAGCTTAGGTATTCGAAAGAATATGCTGCACATACTCTGTTAGCCTAAACGAGTGCACGGCTCATTTCAAAAGGACAGATCCATTTAACCATTTGATTCTCTTAACACTGCATACTCACATCCTTTTGCCTTGCGAAGCGTTTACATATTAGAATGGTAAGCGAAGGCGTGGCGCACACTCCGAGCAAACTGATTGATACTGATCACTTTATCGCTTCGTTTTTAAGCATTTTCTATATGATTCCCCTTGCAAAAACTCTCCTACATATGAAATGGCTGTTTTTTGTTCTGTTGTGTCGTCCTTTTTTGATTTTTTTCATATGAAGCAGAAAAACTTCGATATGATGTGGACGAGGAAAACTGGTTGCTTTACCTATGATTTTCTTTGCACAACTTGTCGCTGTTCTGGAGCAATCAATATCCACACCCATGCTTGAAAACCCGCGACTATCTGAAAAGTGTTTTTCCATCGCTATACTCTTCGCTGCCGTTGCGCTGATTGAATATGCGCATCAAGGCCGGACGCATAGTCGGTCGGACGACAGCAACGACTGCTGCTGTCGGACGACAGCAACGACTGCAGGTGTCGCATAAACCGCGGTCGCAAATGGAAGGCGACGCGGTCACCCAATGCAAACCCAGACAACACGTGACTGCGCGTGATCGTATTTCGAAAGTCCCACTGTAGTGTGGAATAGTAGCTGCGTATTGATCTTGCAGTCGTTGCTGTCGTCCGACAGCAGCAGTCGGACGACAGCAACGACTGCAAGTGCCGCAGATCGATACGCACCCAATACTGTGCGACACTTGCAGTCGTTGCTGTCGTCCGACCGACTATGCGTCCGGCCACAGAAAAAACACCTTGCAGTACCTGGTGGGGTGATTGAGATGAGCGCGACATCCGCTGAGAAAACACCAGTGTGGTACATCCGAGGGATATCTGACAAAAAGACGGGAACGTAGTCGGCATTCCCTTAAAATTCATCAATTGAAAAAAAAACGAACCATCAGATCCTTGAGTGAACGCAATCGTTCTTTTTTCTAAAACCTTAAAGGCATGCCCCAGGATCACATTGGTGTGGCTCTTGTACACGAATGCGAATGTATTGGTGCGAAATGGGCCGGCAGTAAAGAAAAAAGGAAAAGAATCCGTCGAAAACGCTCAGGTTAAGGGCTCACTCACCTTCCTAATCGGCTGTGCTAAGGGAATGAGAGACTAAGCGCGGAGAGGAGAGTATGAGGCGAGAGAGCGCTACAGATGAGAGAGCGCCAGACAACAGCCTGATAAAAAAATCTGCAGCTTCAGCAGCTTACTTTGCAAGGCCCAAGCGCTCTTGTCGGTTGGTTTCCGTGCACGGGAACGCCACATTTGTGATTGTCCTCTAGGGGTCTATACTACAGACCGAAGAGAAGCGTTCACACGACCTCTGCCTGGGTTGTGCCTTTAAGTGACAAGCGGCCCTTTAGTGACGGGAGAAAGGACTCAACTCATGCATATACTTCATTCTACCGTCTGCAAGAGGCCGCTGTCGCCAGATCATCGCTCCGTTCGCCTTTAAAATGAAAGGCACTGTCAGAGACCCGCAAAATGGAACCAATTTTTCGGGCGTTGATTTGGCAGCGCGGCAGCACACAGGGCAAGGCCTTAGCGCCGTTGCCTCGCACTTTTGAGTCGCAACAGTGACGCGCCTCCTGCGCTTTGGGACTCTCCTTCTCACTCTAGGAGGGACTAGCTCTTGGCACCTGATCGCGACCCGTGGCTTCAAAGCTCGCGATCAACAGGTCGTCCCATTTCGTCGCACAGTTGTTCACAAGCAGAAGTGTTAATGAGCGTTAGAATGAATGAAAATACATGAGCGATCCTCACGAAAAATGTTAACAATTCGGGTTTTAATGATCTACAGAATAATTACTTTCCGAGCTTAGTTCACACTCGATTCATTTGAATTTTTTTTATTTTCTCATACTTGTTTTTGTTTGTTAACTGCTGTTTTTGGCCGCAGTTCGCCTTGCGAATGTTTCACAAGAATGCTGGGTTGTGAACAAAACTTTCGCCCCAGACGGGATTGGAACGAGGGGTGCGGGTTCGAATCCCGTCTGGGGCGAAAGTTTTGTTCACAACCCAGCATTCTTGTGAAACATTTTCTTATACTATGAAATTCTATACCGAAATACTTATTCCCCTTGACTGCAATTCAACTGTACAAAATTGTCTACTGTATATTTCAGATAACAACCATAAGTGCTGCAAGAAGATTGAGCACAATCGCACTCCTTCAAACAAAGACAAGACAATCTGACCTTCGTTTACAAGCCGTCGCAGATTTCCACAAATGAAAAGACAATTCGAACGAATCTTCCCTAGAAATGGAGTTATTTAAAAAGGGTACAAATTGTAAAAAATGATTGCTCACCCCAGTACTCGCTGTCTGTCCAAGGAATCCGTCCCTGTAGGATGATATGTGCAGGTCGTATTCGGGAGAGGTTGTTACGTTTCACATGTCGGCATAACGCGTCAAGCAGCTCGGTAGGGGTAGATGCATGCGGGTGAACGTAGATGTCGTTACCTTTAATGGTAAGGAAACTACAAGTTACCCAAACCAATAGCGATTCTAACAGAGAAAGGGGAATGTTTGTGCATAGTAACTTGTACCTACCGGAAGTGATACATGATACTGCCTCGTCAGCCGAGACACGTTTTGGAACTTTGCCAGCAATAGGAACAGCCAAACGACTTGATAATCGACTAAACATCTGAAAATGTGGCGGTTTTATAAGAAACGGATGATTATTGTGAAAATCCTTTTCAGAGTTGCATCAAGGCTTCTATGAGGGTGTTAACAAAGAGATCAAATATGGGCTGGAAGGCAAATGCTATCTATCGATCTGTGAAGAAAGGAAAGAAAAAACAACAAAATGCTCTGAGAAGGTTATCCCTGATAGATAGTTTTGGAAGTATTGGGTTGTCTCATAATTCCTGTCAATTTTAACACTTTGGTTCATTCAATTTTTAATAGCTGATCAACAGTTTAACCTACATCATACTCACTGTATACATCGTGCATTTGCTAGGGAAGCGTTTGGAAGCTTCCAGCCCAGAATGAAGGAAGCTGGGGGTTGAAGAATTTGGAGAAGTCGTTTTTGGGGTGGTCGCAATCTTTAACTTTCTTCTCTGGCAGATGCTTATTCAGGGCGCAGGGGAGGCGATAGTCCGATAGAGCGATGCCAATGCTATATGGTGGATGAGGTATCGTGGCCCTGGCTATCTCCCTCAGAACGTGGTGAGTTGGCATTGCAATGTGAGGTCGGGCGTACATTTGGAGAAAGGAGATTCTGAGACGTTTCTGACGGTTCCCTCGCAATACCGAAGCCAGCCTGAGGCTATTGACAAGCTGACCTTCGCAA